GCTAAAGCTTTTGGCTCGAGTGTCCGCTTCGTTTTGTTTCGTTTCGTTTTGTCACCTTGAACATGAAAATTGGCGCTGCATTTGTTGCTCTGGCCGTTTTCCGCTTTTCCGTTCGCCGTTCGCCATTCGCCGTTCGCCATTTGCCATTCGCCATTCGCCGTTTGCATTTGCACTTGGCACAGATCTCGCCCGTGGAAAATCCTACTGCGACTACTAAATATTCATTTTTCCAATACGAGCGCTGCTAACTGCGTATGTGGAAATATATGTGCTTTTATTGCATTTCTGTTTTTCTTGCTCCCCCACATTGCCATTTGCCTTAGTCACATTTTTGCAATTATGACAAATTTATGAGTTCGTTTCTCCCACACGCACGAGTGCTTCTGTGTGTGTGTGCATTTCTGGCCACTCCTGCAAGTGACTTTCTGACTTTTGACGGATTGCGGCAGCCATTTCCTTAGCTTGTTGAATGCAAAAGACGTGAGGCATTCGTCAACTTAAGCGATACGTTTAAATGGCGGTTTACATACAAATTTTTCACTTTGTTTAGGTAAAATATAAAAATGCACATCCTTTTAGGAATCTCCCAATGGACTTTTGGATGGATTACTGTTGTCTATGGGTGTAATTCCAATACACAACTTAAAATGGGGTGATTAATCGAAGTTACTTTTAAAGATACTTTTTAGATAAGCACTGTTTCTTCTAATGCCCTTTGTTGCTCCATTGCCCCGCGATTGATTGCACTTTCTTGGGGCTTCGAGGCGTAGGCTGCCCGGTTGTCAGTCAGTTGCGCTGTCATTTATTCTGCTTAAGGTGTAATTACATTCGTGCCCAGCTGGTTCGCTTCTCAGACATTACTCATACGCCCCGTGCCCGTCGCCGGGTTGCCTAATCTACCAACGCAGCCAAGATGTCGACACTTTGGCCAAGTCATTTGCAATTGTTAATGCCCCACAAATTGCACATCGGCGGAGAGGGCGGGCTTTAAAAAAAACTCACATGTTGGTTGGGGGGAAGAGGACGTGGGAGGGCATCAATCCAAATGGCTTTTAGCAGCACAATTAAGTTTTAATAATAACTCAATAAAGGCGAGCGGCAAAAGGTGAGTGGCAGCGCAAAGAAAAATGACTTATAGATAAATTTAAATCGCTTCCTAATCAGAATTCAAGGCTAACAGCCATATGAGTGAAATTAATACACACGACTGCGATGCTGACGTCGATCTATGGTCTATGTGCAAAGTGCCAATTGTTTTCTGCTTTCTGTATTCTGTGTTCAGTTTTTAGTTTTCAGTTTTCAGATTTCAGATTTCAGATTTCTGAGGCTGCGGCTGCGGCTGCGGCTGAGGTGCTCGAGTGTTGACTCAAGGTTGCTGCAGAGCCCCTCAAAGGCACTCGTATGAATTTTAATTAAATGCTGCCACATTTCTGCGCTGCTCTGCGCTGCTCTGTGCCGCTCTGCCTTTTGGGTTTAAAAATAATAATTTGCAGAAAGTTAAGCGAAGACACGCGAAGGAAATAAGGCACAGCCAAGGCGCAGGTGAGGTGTAAACGAAAATCATAAATAAATAAATAAAATTTAAGCTTGTTTAAAGAGCGGCAGCTGTTTAAAAATAAATGGAAATGCAATTGCCGCGCTGCGCTCGCTGCACTTGAATGAAAATCTCGCCAAAGCATTTAATTGTATTCATTTGGATTCATCGAAAGTTTCAAAGAGACATGTAGTCTAGTTTATAGTTTTTGATAAATTGCTTCATAATTTTATCATGTCAGAAAATTTTATTAAAAGTCCATTAAAGTACAAGCTACTCATTGATACAAAATGACATGGCTGCTGTTTCATTATCTTGAGCACTTTCAAAACACCAATTTGAGCAGTGTAGGTGTTAGTTTTTGAGAGTGCGCCTCCTTTTCTGCTGCCAGCTGCAAAATACGCGCACATTTGTCAAAAAAAGGCCAGAAGCGGCTAAGCCAAGGCTCACACAGACACGTGTGCCGCGCCATGTTGGCTGGCCGCGAATGCAGTACCGCCGCCCCCTTACCCTTGCCCTACCCCTCCACCCCCCAGCTGCTAGGGCTTTTCTTGGTGTGTGTGCGCGCCTGTGCTGGTGTGTGTGTTTGTGTTTCAGCTGTCAGGCATTGCGAAAGCTTAATGCCAGCTAACCGCAACGCCGCTCATCCGCCGCCGCCCCTCTTCAGCCCCCGCTCCCCCACTCAGTGCAAGCCCCTCGACGCCGCCCCTGAATCAACCGCCGCGCTGTCTGCTCGGTGCACTATAATTTGCCTGTTTGCTTTGGCTTTGGCGTTTTTGTTGCCTTTTGATATTATAAAACAAATTAGACGGAAAAAAACTATGCTATACTGCGAGTTGGAATTTGAAAAGTTTATACTAGACTAGCCCACTAGAAGGAGAGGGGCGATAGAGAGAGAGGGAGAGAGGGAGAGAGGGAGCATGGCGTGTGCAATTAGCCGCAACTACAAAGTGAATGCTGATGCGGCTGTGCTCTCAAAGGGTTTTGGCCCAATTAGGTCTCGAAAATTCAGGGGAAATTCTGAGAATACATGGGAATTAAGCAGAAGAAGCAAAGCTGGACGATCTAGTCGAGTCACTTTTCCCAACAGTTTGTCACCGCAAATTGCTGGCTCTGATTGCTAGTCACATGCCATCGTGGCAGTTTGCGTTTTAATTTCCCCACCAGGATTGACTTGTGGCCTTCCCACTCGAGCTTGAGCTTTCCGTTGGTGGCCATCGCGAACTCCGTGAGTGTGTTGTGTGCCTGGAAATTAATGGGCGAGCGTTTAACCACCCATTGCGGTTGGGGATGGGATTGGGGGATTGGGGTTGCCATTGCCATTGCCTTGGAGCTCTGCCTTTGCCTTTGGCTTCGCCATAATGGGAGTGCAACTGCAAAGAGGGCCTTGATTAAAAGGCAGGCGGTTGGGGGCTGCGGCCCTGATTGTCACGGGTGGTGGCGGTAAATGGCAAACGGCGAATGGCGAATGCACATAAATCTGCATTTTAAGTAATAACCCGCACGATGGTGGTGGTGGTGGTGACGAAGATTCAGCGAGACAAAGGCCACAGTGAGTCGGCCCTCTTAGTGTTTCACTACATTTTAAATCATTCCATTTGAATCGCATGACGCGCCTGAGCAGCGAAGGTTAATCATCAATGCAGCTGGCAGCAGCGAGCCGCACGCGCATCAGTGCGTATGAGTAATGTCAAATGGATGCCATTACGTATGCGCCACGTGGACGCCTTGAAGATCTCCATCTCCACTCGCTACGTTTCGATACGTTTCGATTCGGGGCGAGCGCATTCTGATGCGGCACATCACACAGCTGACAACTGACAATAATTGCGCACAATTAGACATTAATTGCATTCGTTCGCAGCCCGGCGATCGTGCATTTACCCAGCCATCCATCTATCTATCTATATATCCAGCTATCCATCCATCCAGCTGGCTTGCGTTTTCGCTGGCCAGCGAGCTTCGAGCTTCGAGATGCAAGATGCGGAAATGCGGCATATATCTTTTCAATTAAGCAGCCACGCCTTGGCAAAATAAACTTTGCATTGTGCTCGTTTTGTGCATTTGTTTGTTATTTTTTTCAGCTCGGCCCCCGAAAAACGGTGGGCGTGGTCGCCTGACTCTGACATAAATTCAAATGCGCACTCCCGGGCACAGACATTTAATTTGTTTCTTCTTTTTATTTTTTGTGTTTTGTGTTTTTTGTTTTTTGTTTGTTTTTTTCTGTAGACTGACGGAGCAGGAAGCTTGACGCTCTGGTCAGCTTTTTCGGCTCGATTGTGCAACAGGTACATGGAAAGTGAAAGTGCAATTGCTGGCAGCAGGATTCGCAAACGTTTGACTAATTGAAACGACTGGAAAATTGATTGGACTTAAGCGAGAAGTCAAGTCCGTATGGGGAGTCCAATCCTTATTTATCAAGTCAATAGATTCAGCCCTAGGTATGAATCATATGCGCCGGGGCAATGGTCATTGTACATTCTAAGCAGCAATCTTATTGACTGTATCTATATTTACATGATTTGCATCATGCATCAAGTATGGAATATTTTCCAATACGAAATACTTCAGTCAACTGTTTTTGGCCTAGTGTATTTTTTCTTCGCAGCTTGGGCTTGGCGTCGTGTAAATTAAACAGGCGAGTATAACCACCATATGAAAATCTAATCAGACTTTCAAGGTTAACATATTCTACCGCGGCTGCTGCTCACTTTGATATTTGTTCCCAGCCATGGTTGTTGTTATTTCTGGTTTTTGTTTGTTCGCTATTAAGAGCCCTTAAAAGCTCCAAACGAAATAGCCAAACACACGAGCCGGCGAGAAAGCGTAACTAGTTGGGCAAACAAACGGCAGAAGTGGGCAGAAGTTTCTGTTCGTTTCAGTTCGTTTCCGTGCTGGTTTTCAGTTGCGTAAGTTTTTGTTGTTTCGGCTCTGTGTTGCTCGGCTGAGGCCCTTAAAGTTCAAACATAATTAATTAAAGAGCCAAAACTCTCGGCGTCTGCCTGAAAATCGGTATCAAATGGCTGGGGGTTATTGATTTTGTAGAATTTCGCCGTGTGTGTGAGTGAGTGTGTGAGTGTGTGGGTTTGTGTGTTTTCCAAGTTAACGAGCTGCTGACATTGCCCTTTGTGTGATTGATGCGTTGCCATTCTCATGGGCTTGAATCATTCCGACATTTATTTGATATTCTATAAATGCCGTATTCCTTTGCCGCGCAGCAGCAGCAGCAGCGCAACACTGCGTATGAGTAATGGGCATCAAGCATACGCCGTGTGGTCGTGCCAAGAACGGACCGACATTTACATAATTATGGCAATTAAAATCTATACACAAAGTTGCAATTAAAATGCAACAAAATGTCACGCTCCACCGCCGCTGGCCCAGATTCTTCTGACCGCATTCTTCCACAGCAATCTAACTATATGTTTCTTACATCTAGATTTTGGGCCTAGAGCGAATCACCCACCTTTTTCTTGCGCTCCTCCTTGAAGTCGATGACAATGCCCTCGTCCGACGTGGACACGGATGTTGTGCGTATGCGTGCGTTGGCCGCATCGTGGGGCGACATGATGTTGTGTGGGCTGGGGTGGGCGTGGCCGTCGTCACTCAGAGGCGGCGATGCGGAACCGGAGCTCCAGGAAGCCGACGAGCTGCTGCCGGGACTCGAGCACTTGTCGGCCAATGCTGGGGTGAAATGGGTAAAATTAATTAGCTTATACGTGGGCGGGGTCAAAAAGGGGCGGGGCAGCAGGAGGATGACCTACAGCCATGCGGACTCTGCAGCTTCATCGATGACAGAATCTCGGCGGCACGGCATGTTTCCTCATAGTTGTTGTAGTCCTGGTGATCGCTGGGCGGACGTTTCCGGGAACTGCAAAGTAAGATGGGCATAACAGATGGTTTAGTAAATAGATATTATATATATAAATAAATATTATAATATATTATTTGCATGTGCAACATCTTCACTGCCTTGAAAGTTTGGCCGTGTTCTATATATAACACATTTTTAGGACAAATCAATTCCCGCTTTGAGCATTGACCCAGATTAGGATTCTTGATTTTATCAGCCATCTACATATAGAAGCCAGAAACTGGGCGATAAAGATATACACACGCAGGCATTGGCGGCATTTGCTTAGACACATCAAAGCGACCGCCCATCGTTGTTGTAATTCGCACAACAACAACAACAACAACAGTGACAACAATCCGTCGAGGTCTTTTGAGCGATAATCGCTTCGAGCGGCATTTCAATGCAAAACATAGCAAAACTATTTTTCCATTTAACTAATTTCTGTGGCCACCAAATTCCACCGCCCATTGTGTGTGTGTGTTATTGTTTCGTCATTAATTGGCCTCCTTCCGATGGCCTCACATATTTTGAAGCGACGTCAAATGAATTTCAGCCAGTGGATTTCCCAGTTTCGACAGCTTTCCATGCAGTTCCATGATGGCTTTAAGGTGGCTTTGGGTTGGCTAACCTTGGCGCAACCTTCGCTGGCCAAATCGGTGCAAAATCCTTAGGAACTGGGAACGTTTGTGAAGCTCAAACATATAAATTTGAACAAAGGCAGCCGTCAACAATGGCTGGATCCTTAAATGCATTTTGGGATTGGCGGGGGATGACCATAAAGACGCGACGCTCTCATAAATTCAAAACATTTGAAACGGAAAAACTGATTTGGCATATTTGCCATAATCAAGCAGAGTGCTATCCCCCACCCTGCTGGCCAAATCATTTAAGCCAAATGGCGGCTATTGAGACAAGTGGTTTAAGACTTTGCAAAGGATTCCAACACTTGCTGCGTGCCAGGATTAAAGTCGAGGAGCAGGTGGCGGTTTCCTTAGAAGATGGAGCGCTGGTGAAGCAAGCGGTTGCTGATGCTCAGAATTTCGGTCAGAACTCCTCAACTGTGCTTATCTGTTGGCCATCTGCTTTGGGCCAAAGCACAAGGCACAAAATACAAAACAGAAAACACAAGCAACTCGTGCCGGCCAACCGACTCACCATCTCTCCATTGTGCAATGTGAAAAGCCGCGGGCATTTGTGGCCAAGTCTGCACTTAGCCAAATGCGGCCTCCTTGGCCAAAAGAGCTGTGCTGGGCCGTAAAACTTTATTACTCGGCTACCAGGTTTTAGCCTTTTGTCTAATGCAACAGCACCGCAGCAGCGCTGGCACCATCACCTTTGCCTGGATTTTCGTCCCAATTAAATTTACTAAACTCAACGATAAATTTCCGCCGCAGATCGTTGCTAATCGCATAAAAGTAAATTCGCGCATAAATCGCGAGTTTCCCCCATCCGTGGAGAATCAGTGCTCGGTGTGCTGGATTTTCTCCCCTCCCCACCCCTCATTTTCCAGCTAGCCGGCCGGCAAAAGGCGCGTGCCTGTCGGTGATGCGGTGATGCAGCGGGGGACGAGGGGAAGGCGGTTTTGGCCTGGCCATCACGATGTGGCCATTTTAATGCGCACAATCCGTACCGTTAGGCCGTTTGCTTTCCGCCCCATTGCGCTGAGCTGGAAAAACTTTAATAAACTGCAAGCGAGCGGTTGCAGTTGCAATGTTGATGTTGCATTGTTGATGCTGCAGCAACTGCTGCAACTGCTGCAACTTTGACCGCGTCTTTTGAATGCCTTTTCGGCCTACTCGCTGCTGCGTGGCCGCACGTAAATTGCCCCAGAGCGCGTGATTGAAATGCGATATATTCGCGCCCGATTTCGGGCCTCTCGAGCCTGGGAAAAGCAGTGTTTTCTGCTGTCTTGGCCATTATTTGGCCACGTTTGCTGGCCGCAATCAACACAGTAAGAGTCGAGGAGCGAAACAAGAAAGCAAGCAAGAAAAAAGAGGTGTTGAAAGCAAAATTACATTGCGGTGTCAGGAAGTGAGAGATGTGATATGATATGCCTGCCCAGAGAGTCGGTTGTTTGCATGTGCCGGCGAAATTAGTGAAAATTGCATGAAATTCGCTGGCTGCAGCTCCATTTCGACTTGATTTGCTGTGTGGTTTGCATTGCAGTTTGCAGTTTGCAGTTTGCCGTTTGCAGTTTGTAGCTTGCAGATCGCAATTAAAGCTTATTAAATTAGCCACGTGCTCGATATTTGCTTTTGTTTTCGAGGGAAACGATGACTTTCACCAAAATTGGCCAGGGAAAGCGCAAGTGCGAGTTAAGCGGAGACAAAGCGACTCCGCGGCCTGCAATCTACCCGAAATAAGGAAAACAAAAAGGCCCACAGATATCACCAATCAAAATCTAAGCAATTTTCAAGTGTAATTTATACGCAGGCAAAAATAAATGCCCCGCAACCCAAAAAAACACAAAAAACGAACAAAAAGAACCAAAGTCGTTGGCTGATTTCTGTGATTAGAGCGATGGTAGTTTTTGTGTATTTTTTGTGCCAGCAACTTCATTGAGGTTTTTTTGTGTGCCTTGTGAAAGAGCTTTTAGCTTATCAGTTTGCACGATAAGGGGCAAGATTCTATGGGCCATATCTGCGCTTATTCAAGCCAATGTCAACAGCAACAACAAAAGCGGAAATGTTCGCTCGAAAAAGAAAAGTAAGGCTAAAAGCAAAGAAACCCACTGAAGGTAAATACAATTTGGACAAAAGGAAATCGTGTAATGACAAGTGTTTTGGCCCCAAAACGGATCGATGCTAACAGCTTCGGTATTTTTATGGCACTCGAACAGGAAGCGCTCTGGTTTCACAACTTAACCAGTTTTGCAGTACGGCAAATGGACAACGGCGCGTATGCGCAATATTTTATTTAAAATCTTCCATTTACCATCAGCGAAATGAAACCAAAACAAATCGCCACAGACATGGCACATTCGTACGCATTTTTATTATTCAATATTTTTGTGCCTACATTTTTGTTTCGTTTTTTACGATTTGTTGTTTTTCCTCCTTTAGTTTATACTATATATATTTTTGCCCATGACGTTGCCAGACGAATCGAGTGTGTGTTTTTTATTTTGATTTTATTTTTGGACAGGCCGAAAATCAGACAAGTGCCTGGGATTGTTGTTAGCTGTTGTTGTTTCAAGGTGCCGATGTTGCTGTTAGTTTTTAGTTGTTTCTTGCTGGTTCCTTGCTTGTTTCTGAGTTGTTTTGCATTGCGTGCGGTGACTCAATTGACCCCGCACTTGGGCTCTCTGGGAGTTTTTCCCATATGCCAAGGCGTTTTGTGTTCGGCTTTTATTTGTTTATTTGATTTTGAAGCAGCCGACCTCTTTCTGCTGTTGTCCCTGTTAATTTGGAGGTTTCGGCTTTTTGTATTTTTTATATTTTGTATTTTGTAGCCCTGCCCGCCGCTGACACACATAATTTTTGCTCTTTTTCGCCTTTTTTGCTCAGCCCGCCTCTTCTGTTTTGTGTTTTCCTTTCTTTTTTGCGAATGGCGAACAATAAAATTGAGTTAAGCAAACAAAAGCCCGACTTTTGGGGATGTGGTGGCCTTAAAGCCACCGAGTAGCGCCAGCAGGCCAGACGGAAATTTGTGGAGGTAAACAAAACGAGCGGCGGAATGCCGACATTTCTGCAGGTGAAATACGCGGCATTAAATCGAAAACAAGCGCGGTGCGTAACAGTAAAATGTGTGTGCGTGTTTCTCGTGGGGCTTTTTCAGCGGGGGGGTTTTTTTGGGAGGGGACTGCTAACTGCTAACTGAATGGCACAGGCGTGTTTTTTTTGGCCAACTCGTCTTGTGCCGGCCGCTTTATCATCCCCATTTTTGGCCGTATGCGTGAGTATCTTTCACGCTCGCCAGTTGTTTACTTTCGGTTTATTTTGATTCGGCGGGTCCCGCTGCTAATTTTTCACAGATAACGATGGCAAAACGTCAGAGTAGGCGTAGTAAATAGTTTTGCTGAAATTGCTGTTTCTTCTTTTAAGCCCGGTGCGTAGTTTTTTATGGCGAGGCTATTATTTATCTGGTTTTTTCATTTTTGGGCATTCGCGCGGAGCACGTGCTTTTCGCTGATTAGTTTGAATGGAACTGGGCGATTTGTTAAATAGCTGGATTTCTCGGCGCTTTCAATCTAGGGATTGGCCAACTCAATTAACATTTAAGGCCAAAAAGGTATTATCATTTCATTTTACTGCCGCAACAGAAGTACAAAAAAAGTAGCCATCTGAACTATGGCAAAAATCTGAAAACGAAGCACTGGAAAATGGAAAATGGGGGAAAAAAACATTTAACAGCTTTCCTTTCTTGTTGTTCATTTTCGGCGGGGTCCACATCGTTTACATAGCTGAATGGCGCTTTAAACATTTTTTGTCTATTTCGGTTTGTTTTTTTCTTGATAGCCCCTCGCATTTTCACCCCCCCAACTCGTGTCGCAAAGGCTCCACGCCTTTTTAGAGGCTCATTTGCACAAATTACTAGCATTGCGACAACGGCCGCGGAGGCAACAACAATGCAATTGTCTGTGGCAATAGCAGAAGCCAGAAGGAAAAGCCAATACAAATACCAATACCAATACCAAAGCCAAAGCCAAAGCCCAAGTCTGAGCCAGAAAGGTAGAGGCGGAGAAAAGCCCAAGAAGACATTGTCACCACATTCCGGCAACGGAAGCCAGCCGGCGGCCAAAAGCAGATTGGCTATCGCCCCATCGCCCCATCGCCCCATGGGCCCAGTTCCCCTCCCCTTCCCGCCCTGCTGCTTAATGTCTCTGGTCGCTGTCCTGTACACTGAGCAAAAAGGACCGTGTTCTGGCTAGTATATCTAAAAACTTGTTTGGCCATAGAGAGTTTAGTTTAAGCCCATTTGGTGTGCACAATGTTACCACTTAAAACAAGGATCAAATCGAATTTTTTCGGTGCACTTGTCATGAATAAAAATCGTATTAATTCCGCGCCAATGTC